TATTTAAAAAAATCCCTTGAGGAAATATCAACGAATACAAAGCTAGATGGAATGTCATGGAAATGAATAACTACTAATGGCTAGTTGTATTCCACTACAGGACACAGAGGTCGATGGGAATACAGGATATCGACGCTCCCAAAATGATTTTGGTTTCCCAGCAGACTTTAAGGGCAATTCCTCATCCTTGGAGCAGCATTCAGGAGCATGGGAAGCAGGAGAGGTAATTGCACTCTTCTTTGGCAGGAAAATCTTCACCACAGTTTCATTTTCACAACTAACCCTCTATCTCATAGCACATTATAGGTGAAGGAGAAATGATGGATATGTTAGACTCCTAATTTCTTTCTACTCCATTGAAGCTGATCAAGCCTGGCTGGGGAATGACAGCTCTAAAACTGTAAAGCAACCAATTAATCTTCGCTTCCGGGAGGGGATATCAGAAAACAGATGTTCGCTTGTCTCCCTCCCCTCCAGCCACTGACACATGCCATGGCTGGTCTGGGCCAGCAGAAGGGGCTGTGAGCCCAGGATGCATGGGGGTGGGGGCTGCAGCTTTTGGAGCCTGTGGAAGTGATTGGATGAATGGCTGCCTGAGTCACTTCTAACACAAAGCTAACAGGTCAGCTTGTGTGGGCTGAACACAGTCCCGGGGGTTTGTTTAAACGCCTGTGCCGTCGCCAATGTAAGCCTTTTAGTTGGTGGTAGCGAAAGGGATAAAGCTGAGCACCAGGCACAAAAAAATATAAGTAAAATACATTCTTTAATAGCCACAGAATATATCAATCCACTTTGTGTGCACCAAATGCAGTTATTACCTGGTAAATGCAGCAGTGACATCATCACTGTGCTGTACATAGCCTGTGTAGATAGCAGAGCGGTGGGAGGGGGCCCAGCAACTACAGGATGCCTGTATAAAGGGGGTGGACAAGACCAGTCACCCTGTACGAGGAGAAAGAGCAACATTGACTGGTCTTTACTAGAGGAAGCTCCTGCATAAAAGGCATAGATGGACACTGGAATACTACACAGATCTGAAAGAAATACACAAAGCACACTGAATTCATGTGAGAATACACATACCTCTTGTATGTAGACAATATTTGCTTATGCCGGGGTACAGCTTTAATGGTCACTAGGAAGACCAACACAAGACAAGTCTGCATTCTGCTGTCACATTCGAGTTGATGAGACAGATAAAATGTGAAGTTAGAATGTATTTTCTTAAAGCTTCCTTTTGAGGCTCCTACTGCATTTATTTCATGAGCATAATTCCAAACAGGAGGTAACAATAGAGATATATTGATTATCTAGCACAAGGTTGGGTTTGTTATGTTCCAGGAACAGCCAGATGTCTAGGCTCCGATAATACTAATGTGTCTCTATTGTTCTCAGGCTCTAATGTCAATGGGGACAGTGACACAGTTGTCATTTCCCTCATCAAGCTCAGTAGAGTCACTTCAATAATAATGACAAAACAGCAGGAAGTTCAAACTCTCTCCTTTAACCATCTGCTGCTCATTTGTATGATGTAGAGCAGTGAATATGGAATCCCATACATCTTCCCAAGAAATGTCCTCGTCAAGAGTTCTATACTATATCACAAATACAAGCTCATCCTCAGCTCTAGCACACTGCTGTATTGGGGAAGGTGTTGAGATAAAGCTTCCCACAGGGAAAAGAAGCTGAGGAGCAGCAGATGGAGAAGGGTCCAGTTACACATATGCAACTCAGTCTCCAGATGCTTCAGGTTAGCATGTTGCCTTTCATTTGGCAGCACATGCTGGTATAGATTTATAGTACTAGATAGCCGGACTGAATACTAACGGCAGAGTACAGTATACTATGGCTTTTAGTCATGAAAACAAGTGTATATAAGCTCTGTAATGACTAACACACCGGCTCATAGCTAGAAGACATCATGGGCTGAAACAAAAAAAAAAGCCTTAAAGTGGATATCCACTTTTGCAGTCAGAATTGAGAAAACCCCCACTATATGTTTGTTATGGGTTCCTATTCAGTGGCAGAACTATCGCCATAGTGACCCAGGCGGCCATTATGGGGCCCGGGGCACAGGGACGAGAAACACAGGGGTCCCCCTAATGCCGTGCGGGCTGCCTGGGTCGCTATGGTATTGCAGGCTGTCACTGGCGGCTGTGAGGAGGAACGCGCCGCTTTTCAGATCACTGACAACCTGTCAGTGATCTGTGCAGTGGCGCGTTCCTCCTCACAGCCGCTGCTGAGTCAGTGACAGAAAGCAGCTGCGGTGGAGGAGGCTGGTGCCCGGCGTCGGCAGCGGATGGGGAGGGGGCCAC